TGTTTCATGAGGTCTAATAATGGATAAATGATCGTATTGTTTTTCTATTTCAACCACTTTTTCATACCGATAGTTATCAGTTTGAGGTCGATAGTTAAAAACATGTTTCATATCATATTCGAGGCGGAGAATGATAGGTTTGGGTATAGTTTTATTATAAATCTTATCTAATATGATCTTAACCATTGCACCGGGCATATTTGATGATTATATGTAATTGCGGACAATAAATAAGTCTTATAGTAATTTTAGTGATATATAGTGTTTTTAGTGAATATTTCTTATTATAACAGTTTGTAGCAAGTATATTATAATAAAGTATTGGATTCATTTTTATTCAATTAACTTCGGGGTGGAAACAGATTTATAACTGATTTTTTTGATTCGGTTAAATTAGATCTGAGACAATATTCATCTTTGTATTACGGTACACCTGACTTCTTTTCAGTACCTCATTAGTCCCTGGCGCTTTCCCGTCACTTTCTCGTAACCCATATCACGAGATGATCGGCAATTCAGATCTCGAATTCATAAAAAATGCAACCAAGCCCTTTTTCGATTAATCATTATATTAGTCATTGCGAAAATTAAAGCGCTGACTATACGCGAAGCTTATTGAGACTTACTCAGTCCCCACTAATTTGCCAACTCACTCTAATCATGTTCTATATAAGTGAGTCTTTTTAGCCCTTCCCATAAAAATAAAAATGTCTGCACAGTAGAACGAAAAACAAACCCGAATGCTTATCGATGAATGTAAAAATAGAAACGATCGATACCACCAAACCTCTAATTACTACAAGAGAAACTTTTGGGATGAGATTGTGAATAAAATAAACTAAGCAAATAATACCAACTACTTCACTGGTGAAGATTGTAATAAAAAATTTTTAGTTCTAACTCGAGCATACTATGTAAGTTATATGATAATCAAACAGTTGAAGACGCTTTGCATATATTTAACCTGACTCTGATTTGATATTTTTGTTATATATAGACAGCCAAGGCCTATAAGAAAGCTAAGGCGAAAGCTGAGAGTCTTTTAAGGGACCAACTATCAACTAATGAGGGACCTGAGGTTCATTTATGTGAACGATCACCAGCTAGGGTGATAACTAAAAAGAAGAGAAGTATTATTGGAGAGCAATATTATGATGAGTTCTCTACAGAATTTTGGAAAAAACCCGGTATTTGTTTTTCTGATATTCGTGTTTACTTTGGTAAATCCAGGATATTTTCCCTAAATATTTATTGTTTCTAGGATCACAACGTTCTACGACGTCATCTAATATAACCATTTAACTAATACTCTCAACACCTGGTCCTTTCAAAACAGGGTCTGATACTTCTTTCGCTAAACAAACCAAATCATCAAGACCAGTAATACCTTCTATTGAGACTCCTGTTGTCTCTGCTAGAAGCGCTTCAAGCAGACCTGTCACTCCCACAATCCCCTCATTCTTTCAAAATGCGAATGTAATTAATGTAACAATTAATTATGGTGGCAAAGGAAGCAGTTTGGAAGAACAATAGGAAATAGAATATTTTTTATTAATATATATATATAGCGCTTAACAACTGTAGAATAGTATTTTAATGTTCTAGCTGTTTGTTTTTACAATTATAGCTGTATTAATAAGCAAATGTAATTAATAAATAAATATCACTTGTAAAACGCGAAATACGTTCAAAAAACTCAATGTAAAATCTTTATTTATCATTATGTAATATGGCCGATCCGTTAAGTAAAAAAGTGAATAAAAAGATAATAGATCAAAGACCGGAGGAATGTATTGATTGGAATAAATGATGCTATCAAAGAAGGAGGGAGTTCTCAGATCCTAAGCCATAAATGAGAGTCCTAGCATCAAGTTATTTCGCAATATTACCTCCACTGATACTTTCTCTAACGCTACCGCTACTGCTACTGTTGTTACTACTGCTACTATCAGAAAAACTAACTGATTTCTTATTTCCCTCCTTTTTAACCTATTTGATAATTTTATCTATAGAAGTTCTTCTTGGTGATTTTTGATGACGATAAAAACTAGCTAATTTGCTAGCACTAAGTCCGATTTCGATCGATAAAATATTGTACAATTGTGTTGGTGAACGAGCTTCTCTTTCCTCCTGTTATTAAAAAGAGCTGTAAACTCGATCTAATATGTTTCATATTCATCTGTATATTCGGAATACTGTCCCATAAAAACGTGACTTGTGGAAGAGAATCAGTTTAATCTGGCTAAAATAAGACGCAGTTTGGCGCAGATAAGTATATATGCATAACGTAATATTTTTTCCTCTGTAGCACATGACTTACCTTGAGATACCGCATCATTTCTCTATTCAGCTTCTGTACGCATTCTTTGAAGTTTATTACTTAATGTTAAGACTGTTTTTTCGAGGTTATTGTCTCCTGATCGCATTAGATATTTACGAAAAAAGAAGATAGCAATGGCAAAGATTATATAAATGTTTACGTTTCTCGAAAAAATTCTCTGGATCATATCCATTGTAAGGACACCACGGGTTACCATCTCGTAAATTACAATGGTGGTACTGAAGAGTGCGATCAAGAAAATATCCGAGTTTAAGAACATTTTTTAGATAGCGTTTTATTAGTTTTATGTGAAATTGTTATTTTTTTCACTTTTTGGAGGAAAAAAAATACCAAAGCGGTTCTCTAGAAATAATCCTTTTATATGTTTTACAATCGTCTGGCAAAATAAATGTCTATATACACTAGCGTGTCGAAATACAGGCCTGGAATAATTGTGAAAATGATATCTGTCCATACCCCTATTTCTGAAAAAAGAAAGTTAAGATCCAGAGTGACGCCTGTACTTAAAGACGAAAAAAGTTGATGCATTCTCATATCCCCATATCCTCACAACATATGTATTCAAGTAATGAAAATAACAATATTTTTTTTCGTAAATGCTTAACTGTGAGGCCTTACGCAAGTGAAAAGTTTTTTATTAATAAAAATTTATTGAAATATTCGTTAGGATCTCTCTGGATCATGTATGTACAGTATGTGAATAACCTATATTATAAAATACTATTCTTTTATTTCATTTTTTTGATGCATTGCGTCAGGCTTTATCATTTGGCTTTTGATTTAGTTTTTATATTGAGCAAATTGAATAAGTTGAAGTTGAACTTAAAGTTTTATTAATTTCTTTTGATTTGATTTTTATATTAAATATGTTTTATGAGCTGGAGTTGAAGTTTTATCATTGTCTATAAACACTATAAATAATAATTATTAAATTTTGATAATCAAATGTTAAAGAATTTATGTAATTGAATATATTTATTTATATTTAAATATTATAGCTCTTTAAGCAATAATAATTCTATAATATAAAATCTGTTTAAGCAAATGAATAAAAAGATTTTAACAAGTTTTTTTATTTAGTTTACCAAGTTTTCATTTAGACATATTAAAATATAATAAAACTTATTAAAATTCATAAGGTTTGTTAAAATTAGTAATATAAAAAAGTTTTTTGTTTAAATAAATTTTTTATAAAGAAATTTTTTTTAAAAAACAAGAAAAATTTATTTATTTAAAAAAAAACTTTTTTATTTATTTAATTAGTATAGCAAATAATAAAGGTCTTTTATTATTATATTAATTCTAATTTAAAAATATTAAGTGACAAAGAAATCATTAAACTGATTAATTAATACCTATAATCAATTTTTTTTTAATTATTTAGATTAAAACATTTTAGATTAAAAATTTTTTTTTTGTATTTTGAAATTTCTTTAAATTACAAAAATTTTTTCTATTTAATATTAATAAATTAAAATAATGATAAGTACAAAACTATTATTAATTACATTTTTCTTTACTATAATTATTCATAAGAAATGCAAAATAAGAAATGAATAATAATATTAAACATTTTGATAATAAATTTTACTTTAAGATTTATTATATAGCTTACATAATTTCATATAGTTTATTTATTATATATATATTGTAGTTTATTTAATCAGAAGTTTACTTATATTTAGCATATATATTATTAATAAAATTATAAAATATTTTATTACATATTTTGCTATTATAAAATGTTTTTATCTTTACAGTTACATTTAGCACTATTAGTATTATTTTGTGTCTTTTAGATTTATTTAAAATAAGAATAATGAAACGCATAAAAAGGATTACTTGTATATATATATATCTATTTTATAATTAGGTACTAAAGTATTTAAAAAATACAAAATAAAAAAGAAAATACTTTAAAATATAATAATGTGAAAAGCATTATCTCACATAATAATTTTTTGAAACATGCAAAAGATGTAACTTTTTATTTTAAAAATAATAATTTTTTAAAATATACAGAAGATATAACTTTTTATTCTAAAAATAATAATGTACCTTTTTATAGCAATATTTTAGAATATATAGAAGGTAGTATTATCTTAAATTTTTAAAAAAAAGACTTGCTAGGTTTAATTATTGAAGAGGCTATGAACTTATTAAATAACAGTCATGATTAGAACTCTAAATAGGTCAGTTTAGGTTAAATTAATCAAGTTACCTAAATTAAGTGAATTAAATCAGATCAAACATAATCTAATCTAATTTAATTTTCATTTGATCTGATCTAATTTAACTGAATCGTTTTAATTGAATAATAATGAATTGTTCAAGAAGAATAATAATACTTTATTATAATAAATTATTTAAGAAGAATAATAATACATTATTCAAAAAGAATAATAATAAATCATTTAAAAAAAATAATAACAAATTATTCTAATTTAATGATAATAAATTGTTCAAGAAGAATGATTAATTGACCTAAATTTTATCAAATCAGATTAACCTGTTGATCTAATCTAACATTAACCTAAAAATCTATTAATCTAACTTGGATTTTTAGATTAAGTCAGATTAGATAAATAGGTTGTTCTGATCTGAATTTTCAAGTTAAGTTAGATCAGGTAAATAGGTTGATCTGATCTGATTTAAAACTCTAGTTATTTCTAAATAATTTTACAAATTTACTTAATTTGCATATAAATATACATCTTTTATAATATACTTATAATTTCATTATATTTGTAAATACCGCTATTAGTGTTAAAGAAATGGTATATCAAATATTCAAGGAAATAATATCACATATAAACTGTAAAGCGATAAACTAGATATTAGCTAATAATATAATATA